TTGATTTATGCAAACAAGAACTGGGGTACAGACCAGAGGTGTGGAGGGGTGAGAGGGTTCACCTGAGACTGAGTGGTGAGCAGAACAAGCAGATTTACTGAAATACAGAGCTAAGGCAGGTCAGGGGAGGTCTGCCACGCCATGTGGGTAAGCAACCTGGCCGGGAATCAAACTCGTGCTGCAGTAGCTGTGGACAGCCCCACTGTGCTGTGCTCTAACCCACAGTACTACCAGGGAGGGTCCAACCATAGTTTGTTCTTTACTAATCATTTTATTGTGGGGCCTGCCTGGTGACATAGTCTGAATGCTATCAAGCTATCACCACTCACTACAGTATGAGTTCAATCCTCAGCCAGGCAGCTGACCCACATGGCACAGCAGACCTCTCCTGTCTCACCTGTTGTTCCCTTCAGCAGTGAATTATATCCAGCCACCTGTACTGCTCCCCACACTGTTTCTGGGGAGTCTTCTCCCCTGCTCCCACACCTCTGGCCTATACCCCAGTTCTTCTATGCAAAAATAAATAAAATAATAAATCTTATTTAAATTTTTTTTTTTATTTTGGTATTACATGAATAACATTAGTTTCTCCTTGACCAAACTTTACTTAGGCTTCTTGGAACACTGTTGACCAGGCCTGATCTTGGAATGTCCTTGGAATGTTGGCTTAGCTCCTTGTAGCAAAAATCCTACCATCTCAGATTAGAGAGACTGCCCCTCCTTAACACCTGATTAACCAGGCCTCTTCTCGTGAGAACCTGCTATTAATTTGATGTAGTAAGAAAATCCTTACCTTCATATGTCCTCGTTAATTTCTCAGACACAGGTACCACCTTGCTTCTTGGTTATGAAGACGCAGTTTTCTTGACTATCTCCAGAGTTGACTTAGATCTCTCTCCCCTACTTCTGCTATCTTGAGACCTAATACAATAGTCCTGAATAGTCTTCCTCCCTATTTTAATAAGTTCTAAATATTTTTTCCCTTAACTCATCTACCATCTTCCATGTCCAGAATTTGTCAACCTGAAAGGCTGAAACCCATATAAGCAAGTCCTAATTCCCTCTTCCTCCCAGTCTCAGGCAACTAACATTTGAGTGTCTTTGTAGCGCTGGCTGCTTTATACCGCCTGTAAGCGAAATCACTCAGTATTTATCCTTTTCTGATTGGCTTTTTACACTTAGCATAATGTCTTCGGGTTTCTTCCATGTTGTACCACGTGTCAGAGATTCCCAGCTTTTTAAATCTGAATACAAGTCTACTTAATGAATATGACACTTTTTTGCTTGTCCACTCATTTGCTAGTGAACAATTGGTTGCATCTACTTTTGGGGGGATGGTGAATAATGCTATTATGACCATGGGTGTACAAATATATGTTCAGTTCTTGCTTCAGTACATTTTTTTTAAGATTTTAAATTAAGGTTTTATTTATTTTTGTGTAGAAGAACTGAGGTGCAGGCTAGAGGCATGGGGGTTGAAAGGATTCCCCAGAGACAGCTTGGGCAGCAGAACAGGCAGGTTGACTGAAATCCACTGCTGAGGGGAACAGCAGGTGAGACGGAAGAGGTCTGCTGCACCCTATGTAGCTCAACTACCTGATCGGGGATTGAACTCAGGCCATTGCTATACAGCATCTCCTTCCTTCCCAGGACTTATTTTTTCTTTTATTCATTTCTTTAATTTCCTTACATTATTATTCATTTTTGTACAGTATTTGATGTCTGCCTTCAAATGTAGTCCTAGTAAATCTCCCACCACCACAGAACCAGTGAGCCATCATCATAGTCCCTTGTGCTCTTTCCACTCCTGTTTTGACCTCCTTCCTCTCCCCTTCCCTGCTATAAGCCTCAAATCTATAGTCGCCTACAAGTTTTTTTCTTTTTTTCTTCTTTTTTTGGCTCCTAGTTCAGTTTCTCCTATACTCCTCCTTGAAGGGATTTCATCTGATATTTTTCTTTTTACCTTTCACTTATTTCACTGGGCACCATCCCTTCCAGCTCCGTCCGTGTTGCTGCGAATGGAATGAGTTTATCTTTTTGATTGCTGAGTAGTATTCCATTGTATTACTATGCCACATCTTGATCCAGTCATTTATTTGGGGACATTAGATGTGTAAGTAGTGCTGCAGTAAACATAGGGGTGCAGATTTCCTTTTGAATTAATGTTTTTGTGTTACTTAGCAATTCCTAGTAGTGGATTGCTGGATCATATGGTAGCTCCATTTTTAGTAATTTGAGGATCCTCCACACAGTTTTCCATAGTGGCTGGACCAGTTTACATTCCCACTAGAAGTATAAAAGGGTGTCTGTTTCCACATTCTCACACATTTGTTTTTGTCATTTTTTAAAAAAACATGGACCATTCTTAGGTAGTATCTTACTGTCATCTTGATTTACATTCCCCTGATTGTAAACAACACTTGTTATTTTCTTTAATTTTACTTATAGTTTTTATAATTGCCCTCCTAATGAATATGAAATGACATCTCATTGTGGTTTTGATTCCCATTCCTAAAGATAAGCTGTAACTGTTTTGCTTTAAAATTAGGAAATTTTTTGGATCACTTCCAAGAAAATCCTTATTTCTCAGTTATTTAGAAATGTTTCATAGTAACCCTTGGAACACTATAATCTCCTCAATCCCTATGCAGTGAGGCAGCTGACTCTGCCCAACACAAGTTCATTATGAACCAGGTCTATAAATTAAGTTTTCTAGTAGTCATAAAATCAATATAATATTTCTCATGAGTTGTGTCTGCTTAACACACATTTCACTTCTGACTATCCACGTTTGGAGTGTTCAGTATAGTTTGATATCATGAAATACTCGCTATTGCTTGGGAAATTCTAAAGTGACAACAGCCAGTTACTGATATGCAGTTTAAAAAGACACAGTGCACATGTAGCCTTGACAACATCCACATTTTGGCCAAACATTTACACACATCTGTGCAAGGACCCGTATCTGGGTACTGAGAGGGTCTCACCAGTTTGTTTTATTGTTTGTTTGATCTTATTTTATGTTTTTAAAAACTCACACTGTTTCAGGTAACTATACTTGATATTCAGTTAAAAACGTGGTCTGGGGCCCTCCCTAGTGGCACAACGGGTTAAAGCACAGCACTATGAAGCTATCGCAGCCACTGCAGCAGGAGTTCGATCCCCAGCCAGGGAGCTGACCCACATGGCGTGGCAGACCTCTCCTGACCCGTCTGCTGCTCCCCTCAGCAGTGTATTTCAGTATATCTGCTTGTTCTGCTCCCCACTCAGTCTCTGGTGAATCCTCTCACCCCCTGTACCTCTGGCCTGTACTCTAGTTCTGTATGCATAAATAAGTAACTCTTAAAAATAAATAAATAAACATGGTCTGTTCATCTGTGAACCCAACCACAAATACTTTGCCCACTAATCAATATACACACACACATACAGATTAGAATCATGCCATTGATATTTGGATATTTTATTGGGGACCAAATAAAGATTGCTCCTAATGAGATATTTTTTAAAAGATTTTATTTATTTATGCATACAAAGGCTGGAGTTCGGTCAGAGGTGCAGGGAGTGAGCATATTTGAGACAGAATAGGGGAGCAGAACAGGCGGATCCACTGCAGTCCACTGCCCAAGGGAGCAGTGGGTGAAACAGGAGAGGTCTGCTGCACCCTATGTGGGTCAGCTCCCTGACCAGAGATCAAACTCAGGCCACTATAGCAGCTTGACAGTGCTAAGACTTTAACCCCTGCGCCACCATGGAGGCCCCTCCTATTGAGACACTTTACAAGAAAACGTTAGTTTTCTTTTTCAAGCAGCCAAGAGTTCCATAACTATTGGTATTCAAGCTCTGATTATCTCAGTGTCTTTTTAACTTCTGCAGAAGGTTAGGCACTAATGTAAACAAAGCACCATGGGTGCCAAATCAGAAATTGGCATGTGTGATATTAGGTCTACTGAGGCTCCTGTCAACTTTAATAATAGTGATGATTTGGAAGCCGAGAACAGTCTTAGTGACCAGCCCATCACTAAGGGCCATTAAGTTCAAGTCCATTTCAGTGCCTTTTGGGGATTCTATTTATTTCATATTGGTTGGCCGGCTCTCCTTAAAAGTTAAAGAGCTTTTAAACAATTAAGGAGGAACCTCTTGTCAGTTTAAGCTAAAACTTTGATGGTCTGTGCCTCAAAGTAATTCAAAAAGCAATGCACACTAATTTAATGGATATTATGGACTACCTCTCTAAGATTTCTCCAGATTTTAACAAATATTTACTGCTCAGAGTGTCAGAGCACTCTAGAATTTTCTCCCTCAGGTAGGGAGTAGGTTCCTGCTGTCATTCTTCAGCCCCCAGGCAGCTCTTAGTTCTTGCTAACTTGTTAGCTGAAGAGGAAAATTTTTATTCTTATCACCTTGTGTACATTCATTCTACCTATTTATCCCCCCCCCGAAAAAATTTAGCTCATTAAAATAAGACATTTGTACTCATATATGTGAGTGCTCAGCATGAACCTGTTCTTGCTACAAGCGAAATACTTATTAATACATTTATCACTTCAATTAAGCACAGTTAGCTGAAACAGCCATTTTGCATCACAAGCCTGCAAAAAAAAAAAAAAAAAAAAAAAAAAGACACATTCTCTCTGGTCACTAGCCAGCTCCCGCACACTTGATTTGTAATTTGAACTTCTTTGGGCTTCTAAGAAATTGTAGTTTTAAGAGAGGAGCAAGAATACTAAAAGTGACTAAAAGAAATAAATGTCATGATAGTTTAATCTTTTTTTTCACCTGGCAACAATAGAGTTAAATTGTGTAATATGTTTCACTTAGTAAAAGGTTAAACGATAAACATCTGCTCACTGAGATGAAGGAAGCCAGTCTTTCAGTGAGTTATACCAGATTGTTGGGTATAAAAGGACTGGGCTGAGCATATAAAAGGACTGGGCTGAGCAAAAGGAAAACTGAATGGGCTTCTTTAAGGCTCCACTTGAATGTTTTCGTATATTTAGATTAAAATATAAGGCTCCGGGCCCTCCCTTGTGGCGCAGCGGGTTAAAGCACTGCACTAAGACGCTAAAGCCACTTCAGCATGCGTTCGATCCCCGCCCACCCCGGAGGTGACCACAGGCAGACCTCTCCTGACCGGCCCGCTGCTCCCCTCAGCAGTGTACTTCTGTCGATCTGCCTGTTCTGCTCCCGGATCTGTCTCTGGTGAATCCTCTCACCCACCGCATCTCTGGCCTGTACCCCGGTTCTGTACGAGTAAATAAATAAATCTTTAAAATATAAGGTTCCATGTGACTATTTTAGAATATTTTCGGCTGTTCTCTTGTAGTGTAGGTTAAAATTGTGTAATTCTGCTATCATCAAAGTGTAAGTTTACAAGCATTAATAAAATCCTCTGAAATTTTTAGGCAGTATCACCTTCCAGCTAAAGGCTTCTAGAAGCAAAATTAAAAAAAAACTGCACACATATATGAATATAGAACTGTATTACTGTGGAAATACACCTATACAACTTAAAATATTTTGCTTCCAATCAAGAAGTATTGCTTCCAATCAAGGAGTATGTGTATGTATGTACACAGTTTTAAACCAAATACTAGAAGATTTAAGACATCTGTTTATTTAAAAGATCTTTAAGTTTAAAATAATTTTATATAAAAACTAGACTTATTCATTTGCCACTGATGCCAAGATATTTGAAATATCTCTGTACACTGGCAGTTTCTTATTATGATACATATTTTTAGTACAATAATGATAAAAGGAAAAGATTACTCAAGAGTCTTTTTTATATTTCTGAACTGATAAATAATAATTGTATTGTCAAAACTAGACAGGCAATTTGCATATCTCTTAGAGTCTCTCTGAGACTCTCTTGTTCTTACTTTAAGTGTCTCTGATCAACTGCTCCCTGGTTTCTTGCTTCTAACTCCATAGCACAAATGTCATTTATTTGATAAGCACGTAATAAATTCCAACAATATGGGCATAAAACATAGCGAATGAAAATGGCATTGCCCTTTTGAAGCCTAGAATCTGGAAACAAAAGCAGTTATTAATCATGACTCATACAAGAAAATCTGAAAGTACACACACTATGAAGATCTTTCTTATGGAGAAGAGCAAAACATTTGCCACATTGAAAGATGTGTTTGGCAGGGGGCTGCATGGTCTGGAGATACTGAATACAGATAATTTCTCTGACCACTGATCTGGGTGAGGAAAAGGATGGGAAAAGAACAAGGGTTCTGGACAATTAATGCTTGCATTTGAAGTCTTTGTTTTGAGATAAGTTGCTTAAACTCTTTGAAATCTCAGTTTTGTCATTTATAAAGGACTTCATTGTTTTTTATCTCAACAGAGTTCTTAAAGACTATAAAATAGATTTTTAGTGGCTGGTACATTTTATATATATATATATTATATATGTATGTATGTATATATATATTCTTAATAACATTTGCCTTTATGTTACCTCTTTGAAGGCAAAACTTTTTTCTTAATGCCTTATAAAGTTGTCTTCTGAATTACTATTCCAAGTCCTACCCAGGTCAAAGACAAGTAACTATAATAGAGAATTATGTATGTGGTGATGACCCTGATATTCATTTGGAAGCATTTAATTACAACTCAAATATTGGTGCAGTAATGTAATTGGGAAATGGATTCATTGACTGTAGGAGACTAGCATGCATGATGTATAGCATTAGCTTAGTTGAGTAAAATCACAAGACTTATGGAAACCTACCCCACTAAAAAATAGGAGAACATGGTTTAATCAAGGTAATTAAGAAACTCATACCCCCTGGGAGTCCTTGGATAACAGAATTGGGTTCAGTGTCCATTTTTCTTGCTGGGTTCTTCACTTAAGGGTCACCTCCTTTGAGAAACCCTATAATGTGTCACTCTCCAAGAAACCACCCCCCCAAAGAAGAATTTTACAACTTTTTACTGAAGGTGGTCCAGTGCCTGTCATGGGAAATTGGGAGTTGGGAAGACTGAAAGAGAATTTGGTGTATAGAAAAGAATAGACACAGCATCTGGGGTCAGTTATGTGTGAAATAGGGACAGTGGTCAAGGCTTGAGCAGAGAAGCAGAGTCCCTGGTGGTTGGTGGTTGGGCAGCTGGAGGGCAGACCCGGAAGTTCTTTTTTTTAATATGTACACACACACACACACATATTTTTTTGCATCACTGTCCCCTTTTGTATGTTTGCTTTCTCTTAGGTGTTGTCCTATAAAATTCCCACCCCCAAGTCACATGTGCACCATCACCACAGTCCTTGCTCTTCCCTCCCCTGTTTTGATCCCTTTCCCACCCCTGCAGGATGTCTCTGATTTACAGTTGCCTGTTAATTTTATTTATTTATTTATTTATTATATATTTTCTCTTTATCTTTTAGTTGGTTCCTATAAGTGAAGCCATAGATTCAGAAGTTCTTCAAAATAGGAAGCCATGTAGACTTAAAGAAGAAGCAGGAAATGTGGTCTATTCAACTGACATGTTCATAATAAAGTTTATAGAAGTTTAGGGTAGGTTTTAAATGAACTAAGTCTGAAAGAAGTAAGACTGAATAAAATCATTTAAAAATAATGCCCATATCTTTATTTATTTATTTATTTATTTTTGCATAGATTAATCAGGGTGTAGGCCAGAAATGCAGGGAGTGAGAGGATTCACCAGAGACAGAGTGGTGATCAGACCAGTCAAATCTACTGAAATCCACTGCTGCTGTAGGAGCAGCAGGTAAGACAGGAGAGGGCTGTTGCACAATGTGGGTCAGCTCCCTGGGTGGGATCGAACTCAGGCCATAGCTGTGATAATGCTGAGACTTGATGCCTGCACCACCAGAGAGGCCCTTACATCCATTTCTGGTATCTTATTGACCATCAGATAATACCTTAACTGCTCAACAAGCAGGACAGTATTTACAGAGGAAGTAGTTGCAGATTCACAGAGAGGTTAAAATGGCGCTTTGAGGGTCATGTAGTTAGTGAAAGAAGTCAGGATTAAAAAGATTTCCTTAATACCAACTCAGTAAGGTCAAAAGTTAAAATTGTCAAATGGTAGCCACTCTATAGTTCACTTTCATGCACATGTAAGTATATGTGAATATATATGTAAGATACATATGCATATATAGTTTGAGAAAATATTACCATAATCTTGGTGAAAATATAATAAAAATTTTTGTTGATATTTTGTAGCTTTTGGTGTAAAATATATACATGTTTTAATCTTATATACAGCAATAATCTTAGCCAAATTCTGCTAGATAAATACAAGTTTATAATACTCATTTGTCAAAAAAAAAAAATCAAATACTAATATGTGTTTGTCTGGCTTATAGATCATAAGCCAGAAATAATTCTTGCCAGTAAAACTTCATACACATTGCACTAAAATTTTAAAGGAAAAATATTTGAAGTGTAAATGAATAAGACAAGAAATTAAGATATTACAGAGATTTATTTTCTGTCAAGGAAACATGCTGTGTGTTCTATAAATAGAGCAAATTTAGGACATGATAGTCAGCATGTTTATTTCTTGAGTGTTCTACAGTGATATATCCTCTGATCATATAACCATATTTGTGATTATTTATTACTGAAGGTTTTGTGAGAAGGTCATATGGTATGATGTATGAAGACAGATTCTAGACTCAGAATTCCTAGGGCTGCAAAAACTGTTCCCCATTTACTAATTTGTTAGATATGACATTTTCTTATTCTCTGTAAATCTTACTGGCTTCATCTATAAGGTGTGGACAAAAATAATGCAGTCAATTTTATCTATCATTCTTTTAAAATAAGAAAAAAGGAAGTGAAGGGTTAGTGATGAATCAAAAATTCTCATGTCAGGAAACACTATTATGCATATATTCATTTATACACAAACACATCTTTCCTATTTGCCATGACCTGTAAATTTGTATTCTAGGACATGTCTAATCCATTCCATTTTCTGACCTTTCACTATAGAGATGGCGGCATTAGGTTCACAGGGAAATGGCATGCAGGATTTTATGTGATGATGTACTGTGATTAATGAAACTTTATTGGAAATCAGAAACAAGTAATTCCTGTATTTCTAGTTTTATGATTTAAAGAACTCCATTAGGCATTGAAAAAATGCATGAAAGCTGCATTTTAAAGGCTTTTTCCCCTATACCAAAGCTTTTTATTCCCAAATATGCTCTCTCTATAAAACATGGCATCAGTCATAGAGTAAGTGCTTTATAAATGTTTAAATCTAGATTTTTCTCATTTGCCCTTATGCAACCCCTCATTTTGCACCATACATATGTTATGCAATCATTCACTCAAAATAATATGAATAAATTTTCTCAAGAGGGGACCACTGTTAGCCAGAGTTCTTACAAACAATAAAAAATTGCAATTGTTGACCGAAGGTAGCAATTAAATATATAAGAAACAAGACTGATCTTTTAAAGCCTCATTTGAAACTCAGTGCCTTTAGTTACATCTATTTCTTTCTGTAGTATATAATATTCCTTATAGTTGTGCAACTTGTAGACAAGACCTAGTGGCCTTTCATCAGTACCCAAGAAAGGGGTGATGCCAGTTTCAGTGAGTTGTGCTCCAGCCTCCAGATACATTCTTCACTAGTGATTGGAAACTTACTGCACATTTCCAAACCCAAAAATCATACATATTTCAGAAAAGAAAAATGAGAAAGGAAAATGAGAAAAACAGTGAATGAACAAATAAGGTAAATAAGTAAGTAAAAGAAAAAAAGGAAAGAATGCATCTTCTGATGAGGACAGCCAGCCTTGTCAGAGATTCTTCTGAGTAAGGGTTACAATAAGCACTCCCTTCTAATATGAACATTTTCACATCAAAATGCAACTTATAAGTAATGAGAATATTTAAAACAGTGGTTCTGATTCCTTTTGGTCCTAAAAATTTGTCATTAAATTAATTTTTAGTGTAGCTTATCACTGATAGAGTTTTAAAACATACAAATATACCACTTTTTTTCCCAAGGAGAAATG